CTGAGCCATCTTGCCGGCCTCCTCTTAAACAGCATCTTTTAGGATGAGTTCCCTGCCCAGCACAGTGTGGGAATGCAGTATTGGGGAAGGTCGTTGCTACTGTTGTGACTGAGCTCCAGGTAGAGTGTATCTTCCCTGAGAGAGGAAAGCTGACCTCCTACAGACTGCCACCCACATGTGTTTGATTTGCCTGAGCTCCCAGGCTTTCCAACCAAACAGCCCTTAATGTAGGAAGGCTCCATCCTATAGTTCTGGGCTTGATTTAAGATGAAGTTTCCAGAGGACAGACTGAGGCTTCTCACTGCCCAATTCTGTGTCTTGCCTGCTGGTGCACTGATAGAGGTTTCTGGGACCTCTGTGGAACTGAACCACTGTTAGTTGTGGGCCAGAAAGACTAGCCTCAGAGCTGTATGTGTATGTCAGTGCCAATCGATGACTCTGTCTGCCCCCGTGGCATGTGGGCAACAGACTTGGACTTGAGACATGCAGAAGAAATGCTATTTTTCTTTCTTATTTACTCCTCAGTTGGTTAGAATTTAATTCCTCACATCGTTTGAAATCATCACATCGTAAGACTTTGGGCTGGAGAGTTGACTCAGTGGTTAAGAGTACTTGTTCTCACAAAGGACCTGGGTTCAATGCCCAGCACCCACATGGAGACACTCACCACTTCCTAGGCACCAGAAATGCATGTGGCAAACAGACATACAATCAGGCAAAGCACACATATGCATAGATAAAATAATGTCCAACACAGATAGTGGAACCACACACCATTAATTCTAGCACTCTGCAGGCAGAGGCAGGTGGATATTGTAAGTTCAAGGTCAGCCTGGTCTACAGAGTGAGTTCCAAGACAGCCAATTCTGTTACACAGAGAAACCCTATCCCAGAAAACCAAAGCAAAAAATTTTTTTGTAAAAATGTTACTTAGTACAGTGATTTATAAGATTAAAAAGGAAGTCTCTAATGGGATGTGCAACCTTCTAGATCTATCTATTTGTGTATATAAATAATAAAGTTTGCCAGATTGCCTAGCAGTTGAAGGAATGGATGAAAAGAGTATGTGCCGTATGGAAAGGAGGGTAAGATGTAATACTCCATCCCGTTAGACTCTACAATGGTCCACTGACCGTCTCTCAAGTCAGTACACAGGTCCGCAGAGATATACTGCTGCATCCTGTTACAGTCCTCAATGGTACAGGGATAGCATCTCATGTCAGTACACAGGTATGAACTAGCTTCTTAAAAATATTTATTTACTTATGTATTTATTTTGTGTGCATGTATGTGCATGTGTGTGCATGTATGTGCATGTGTATGAGTGCATGTGTGTATGTGTACGTGAGTGTGCTTGTGTGCATGTGCACAAGTGTGTGAATGAGTGTGTGTCTGTGTGTGTGTGTGAGTGTGTGTGGGCATGTGCATGAGTGTGGGTGTGCCACAGCACATGTATGGAGGTGAGAGAACAACCTTTGGGAGCTGGTTGTCCTTTCACCTCTTGGGTCCTAGGAATCAAACTCATGTCATCAGACTTGGTGGCAGGAGACCCTACCCACTTATCTATCTCATGGCTGTAACATGTCTTTTTGTCTGTTGTTATATGTGATTTGTGCTTCTAACATCATAATTTACAATTTCTAAAGGCAATTGGTTAATTTTAATTGTTCATTTGATAGGATTTAGAGTCAACTAAGAGATAATATCTCTGAGTGTGTCTGTGAGATTAATTCCAGGAAGGTTTAACTAGGGAGGGCAGACTTACCTTGACTGGTGGTGGCACCATCCATGGGCTGGGGTCCTGCACTGAGTGAAAAGGAGAAAACCCCTTGAGCCCCAGCATCCGTCTCTCTCCACTTCCTGGCAGCTGATGCCACGTGACCAGCTGCCTCATGCTCCAACTGCTGTGCCTTCCCCATGGCCAACTGTACCATCAAACTGTGAGCCAGAATAACTCTCTGCTTCTGTCAAGTATTTATCACAGCAACAAAGTCGGAAAGTAATGCACTGAGATTCATCCCTATAAGGACTTTAACCTCTATATCTAGGCCTATGGTTTATTTTGAACTGATGTTTTAGGATAAGTCTTGCTGAAGTAGCCTGTGATCCTCCTGTCCAGCCTCCCAAGAGTTGTGACTATAGGCATGTCCAGCCTGAAGTAATTATCTTTTATTTATTTATTTAGTTATTTGTTTGTTTATTTTAAAAAGATTTCTTTATTTTATATATATGAGCACACTGCCACTCTCTTCAAACATATCAGAAGAGGGCATTAGATCCCATTACAGATGGTCGTGAGCTATCATGTAGTTGCTGGGACTCTGGAAGGGCAGTCAGTACTCTTAACCACTGAACCATCTCTCCCTGTTTATTCATTTGTTGTGTGTGTTATTTGTGTATGTGTGTATGTGTCTGCTGGGAGCATGGCAGGGCATACACAGAGGCATGCGCATACATGAGCATGTGAGTCAAAGGTTGACATTGAGTGTCTTCCTCAATTACATTTCCATATTAGTATTTTTAGAAAGAGTCTCTCGTTGAACCCAGATCTCATTGCTTTGGCTACACTGTTGGCCAGAAAGCCCCTGGGATCCACCACTCCCAGCACTAGGTTTACGGCTGTGAATCACCCTGTCTGGCTTTTACATAGGTTCTGAGGTCCCACATTAGAGTCCTCATGCTTTGTACAGCAAGCACCTCACTGAGCCTTCTCCCCAGCTCTTTGTCTTAGCTAGAGTTTTATTGCTGTGAACAGACACCACGACCAAGGCAAGTCTTATAAGGACAACATTTAATTGAGGCTGTCTTACAGGTTCAGAGGTCCAGTCCATTATCATCAAGGTGGGAGCATGGCAGCATCCAGGCAGACATGGTGTAGGTAGAGCTGAAAGGTCTGCATCTTCATCTGAAGGCTGCTAGCAGAATATTCACTTCATACTGGAAGCCAGGATGAGGGTCTTAAGCCCACGCCCACAGTGACACACCTACTCCAACAAGGCCACACCTCCTAATAGTGCCACTCCCTGGGCCAAGCATACACAAACCATCACACTTCTGAACTAATTCTTACAAGTAGGACAAGGTAAGAAACAGTTAATCTTCACTTCTGTTTTGTATGTTGAAGTTCCATTTTTCTAGCACCACTTGGTACAAAGACTTTTGCATTTTTCCTATGCTAGGGACTCAAACCCAGGGCCTCCTACATTCTAGGCAAGTACTCTACCATCGAGGTATATGCCCATCCTAGACTCTTTTTCAATGACTGCATACCATGGGCTACTGTTTTCATTCCGACGAACAATGTATATTCTTGAACCTAGATCACAGGGCAGTTGACTGTTTCCCACAATTCCTCAGTCAGGTGGTACCTGTGTTTGACAGGAATTATTCTCCAGCTGACATTCCTACCTGAGACCTGTAAGAGGCAGGCTCTAATTAACTTCATTGGTGTGAGTGTCTCTCAAATGCTAGGTGACTTCCTCATGGACACAGAGCCTCAATTCCTACATTCTGCAGGAGTCAGCCCTTCCAGGAGGGTCTGAATAAGATGATCATTTCTGCCTTGGTTAGTCAGGGTAGCATCATAAGAAAGAGGCTCATAAGATACACTGGAAAATGGAGATTCCCTAAGAATTCCTTAAAGAGTGGAGGCTTGTAGACACATCTCTGTGGGGGCCCAAAGGGCAGCTGTTTCTGTGGTGACTGCACCAGCTTTTTAGCAGTCATATCAGTCAGCTATTTCTGCATCTGTTTTTTGGCACATAAGTGACATACACACGCAGAGATGTAAGGTATTTGGGTGGGTATCTTTGTACCCCACTACCACAGCTCTTTGGATTTCACTGAGCTGTCTCTAAGATCTGGTTTAAGTATAATTTACCCCCACACTATCTCATTTAACCTTTCCAACAACCCTGTGAAGGGAGCTATCTCTGTCTCTCGGATGAGACAGCAAAGGCATACAGGGGGTCAGACAATTTGTCTCCTGCCACTTAGAGCTGAATCAGGACCAAGGCTGGTTCTGAACTGCAGACTGTGGTAGCATCATACTCTCTGCCCCAGCCCCAGCTCACCTTGCCTAAGATGAGTACCAGTACTCACTGGATTTAAATAAACCTCCACAGGGAATATATTACATAAATTAAAGCTAATCAAACAACTCTATGGATTAGTATTTTAATTGTTTGTTTTTTCTAATCTAAGGATCAGTATAATAGCCTTTACAAACACTTTTAAGAATATTTTTGCCGGGCGGTGGTGCTTTAACCCCAGCACTTGGGAGGCAGAGACAGGCAGATTTCTGAGTTCGAGGCCAGCCTGGTCTATAGAGTGAGTTCCAGGACAGCCAGAACTACACAGAGAAACCCTGTCTCGAAAAACAAAAAAAAAAAAAAGAAGAATATTTTTGTTTTTTATTTATTTTTAAAATTATATGTATGGGGGGTGGGGTAGGGGGGATAAGGTATGAGGGTGGGATATAGGGGATGGGAGGTGGGGTATGGGGGATGGGGTTTGTCCACATGAGTGTAGGTGCCCTGGGAGACCAGAGGCATCAGATCTCCTGAAATAGAGCCACAGGCAGTTGTGAGCTGCACGCCACAGATGCTGGAATAAACTTTTTCATGTATATGCTCTTAACTGCTGAGACATCTCTCTAGCCCCTGGAATTATTTTTGTTTCAGGAAATTTTGTCTCACCAAGAGTACGTTGATGATGCTGTGGCTCCAAGAACAATTCGATATTGACTGGCACACTCTAAAGTGCTCTCACTGTTCTCATCGGCTTTGTTTTCCATGGGGTTAAAGGGTTGCAGCTTCTGGGGGTGGGGTGCCTTTTCTTAGCAACAGCTGTTTGGAAATGCATGTTCCCAACAGAAAGTCTCAGCTGGATGTGCATTTGTTATTGGTGGGTGTCCAGGCCAGTAGTTTGTCCCCACGGAAGGCAGTTTGTACCAGAAACTTGATTAGTGATAGGGCAGGACACCTGTGTTCCAAGTCTATACCTGATGGTAGGTAATGGAGCAAGAAACCCATCTGCCCTTGATGGTGGTGGCAGGTAAACACCGGAGACTTGGCTGCCTTCTTTCTCATCTTTTCCATAGCCACTTACCTCAGACTCAAAGAAAATTCTGACATCTTAATTTTAATGTGGGCATTTGACCCAGTGCTTGAGATAAATATAACCCTGTGTAGTATGGAGAAGGTTTAACGGGACATGGTTGGCATTCTTTCTTGATAAAGGCATGGGGAAAAGAGAGGGAGGGAGAGAGGGAGGGAGGCAAACAAGGAGGGAGGCAAGGAGAGAGAGAGAGAGAGAGAGAGAGAGAGAGAGAGAGAGAGAGAGAG